CTGGATCGGTTTGTAATCATCTACCTCGACGACATCTTGGTGTATAGTCGGAGTTTGGACGAGCATGTGGAACACCTGCGCACCGTTTTGGAGCGGCTACGACAAGCCAAGTACAAAGCAAACCGCGACAAGTGCGAGTTCGCACAGCAGGAGCTGGAATACTTGGGACACTATGTGACGCCGCAAGGCATCCGTCCGCTTGCGGACAAGATTGAGGCCCTACGAGTATGGCCCGAGCCCACCAACACCACAGACATTCGTTCATTCATGGGATTGGCGGGCTACCATCAGCGATTCATCACCGGATACTCCAGGATTGCTGCACCTATGACGAGGTTACAGTCGCCAAAGGTGCCATTCGTATTCGATGATGCCGCAGGCCGGTCATTCCAAGCACTTAAGACGGCTATGCTCATGGCACGTCCTTACCATCTATGACCCCACCCTGCCGACGCGAGTGACTACGGACGCTTCCGGCTATGGTATTGGGGCAGTCTTGGAACAGCACGACGGCGATGACTGGCACCCTGTGGAGTATTTCAGCCACAAAGTGCCTCCCATCAACTCGCTTGATGGTGCAAGGAAGAAGGAGCTGCTCGCATTCGTCATGGCTCTCAAGCGATGGCGGCACTTCCTCCTTGGGCGTCGTAGGTTCACATGGGTCACGGACAACAATCCATTGACTTACTACAAGACGCAGGATACGGTGAGCAGCACAATCGGACGATGGATGTATTTCATCGACCAATTTGACTTCACACCGAAACATCTGCCCGGCCTCTCAAATCGCGCAGCAGATGCACTCTCGTGAAGACCCGATCTTTGCGCTATGACACATCATGCCTTCGCATTCGACGAGGAGCTTCAGCGACACTTCATCCGGGCATATCAGTCTGATCCGGACTTCGGCACGCTCTATGCACAGCTATCTTCGGATCACCCGCCGGCCAGCCATTACCGCATTGTCGACGGGTACTTGCTCCTCCACTCGAGAGGCAAGGACTTACTATGTGTCCCACGCGACCGTCGTCTGCGGACTTGCCTCCTTAGCGAGTATCATGATTCACGACTCGCCGGCCATTTCGGAGTCAACCGCAATATTGCACGGCTTCGACAGCCATTCCGATGGCCCGACCTCATTACCGATGTCACTCGGTATCGCGACTCTTGCAAAGTTTGCCGACGCAGCAAGCCCCGTAACCGCAATCCCTACGGCGAGTTACACCCGATGCCTATCCCACGGGAACCCGGTCTCTCCATTGCCATGGACGTCACCAGTCCGTTTCATCGCGACCGGCTCGGGCACGACGGCATCCTCACGGTTGTGGACCGATTGAGTAACTACGCGCGTTTTCTCCCTTGCAAGTACTACTCCACGGCTCCCGAGCTGGCACGCCTCCTGCACACTGGTTGGATTTGTGGCCACGGTGTACCAGAAGACATTGTCAACGACCGCGACACTCGTTTCATGTCGGCGTTTTGGACTGCTCTTATGCAGGAGTCCGGCACAACAATGAAACCAAGTTCGGCTCGACATCCTCAGACAAACGGGCAGACGGAGCGGGCACATCAAACCGCTCAAATGATGCTTCGTACGCTCATTCGTCCGGACCAGAAAGATTGGGTTGACCGCCTCCCCGACATCGAGTTCGCCTACAACACTTCGGTGCACCCGGCGATCGGCGTGACTCCATTCGAGTTGCACCACGGTGGACGGAAAGGCSGCATCTTCGCCGACCTTCTCCTCCCTCGACCAGCCAACATTGACGCCGCTTGCTCCCCCGCTTCCRTTCGGAAGTACAGGGACTTGCTGACTCAAGCCCGCGCAAATATGCAAAGGCTCAAGTTCGCATGCAGCAGCAAGCCAACAGGCGTCGYGTACCATGTCCCATCCGCGCCGGTGATCTGGTTTGGGTCTCCGCGGAAGAGTTTGCACTGGAACAGGACGTTTCACGCAAACTGCTTCCCAAGTGGTTTGGACCTTGGTCTGTGACAGCAGCCGCGGGCGATGAGCCCGATGGCCCTTCATTTGTGATCAACATTCCAGAGCATCTGACGGTCCATCCGGTCTTCCACGCCTCGAAGCTGGCAACATACACGCCAGCCAAGAGCGATGACTTTCCGGGCCGACGATCACAGGACCCTCCTATGGATGGCCATCAGGAAGTTGACCGCGTCATCACCGATCGCAAGTACGGCAGCAAGCCGCGGCAGTACAAAGTCACATTCAAAGCATGCGATC